AGTCACATCTCGCTCGGCGTGCGATGCAGGGCAAAGGCTGTTTGAAGGTCGCTGCCACCCGTGAATGTCAAAAAAGATAGCGAGCCTTACCTGACACCGGGATTCGTAAGGAGATGAAGATAAGGGCCCCTGACTGCACCTTGAGAGCTTGGAGAGTTCGCTGGTGGCAAGGGCTAGTAAGAGCACCTGAGAAACACTTGCTAGTGTCGGCGGGGATGTTTGGGTACGCGGCTTGGGTTCATCTCAACCCATGCGATCTGCATGGGGGCGCTTGTGCCGCGCCTGGTGCTAGTGCAGTTCACCAGTGGCGGAGCCAGTTCCTAATGGATATTCCTGCGTGCGTGGTTGACGTTGATATGCCAGAAGTGCGACCAGCAAGTGGAGCTCTTTTGCAATTCGGATATCAGGGGCGCCTTTTTTATCCGCGAAGGTATCGCGGGTCAAGAGGGCTGAAGGGGGACCGAGGACGTTCGTGGACCGTTGGGTGGAGACGAGGCACAGATTCGGCAGCCCCCTGGTCTTGAAGAAGTTCCTGAGGTTCCTGTCCCCGCTCCATATGCGCGTGGTATAGAGGGACGTGGAATGGGGCTCAGCTCTCGCAAGCACCTCCTGCTGCACCATGCCAACTCAAAAGCGGATGGCCACGGAAAAAGGAGCATTGCCAAGATCTTGGCGGTCGCCACCAAAGATATTACATGTGTGTATTAAATGTGCTAGCTTCTAGACAATTCGTCGGTGTGCTCCGGGGCACCTGGCCGCCAGTATCGCTAGAGGTGTATGTCCGAAATCCAGGGGATCGGTTACTATTCATAGCCATGCGGTGGATCCCCCTACCGGTTTGAACTATGTGATATGGAGTTTGCTTCATATGGGTTGGCCAGGCCCCGCCTGGTTAGTCATCTCCCTGGGTAAACAATTGCGCGACAATTAGGCGCGCTAACATGTTGTGGTCGTTGCTGTCGTGGCTCAGAGGTGTCGGGCAGTATCGAGGCATCTTTCTCTCGGTGGTGTTGCTCGGCGCCACGTGGGCTGACCAGTTCCCCGCGGCTGGCCGAGGCGACGCGTCGCCAGCGCCGCAAGAGCGGGCAGCCAAGTACGCGATGGCTGAGCATACGGAGGACAAGACGAAGATCAATATTTCTTTGCGCCTAGGAGCGATCGCACATCAGAAGCTTCGTCTCCTGGAGGCGGCGTGCACGTCGTGGCGTGAGATCGGCGCGGAGGGAGTGCTATGGCAGTCGATGCAGAAGGCGCACAATGAGGAGTACCTCCCTCGGGTGAGGGGCAAGAGCGGGCACGGACTTGGGCCGCCCGACGCGTTCAACGCGACGGCAGCGTGCATCGCGATGGCGGAGACGGCCTCGCCTGAGATCAAAATAGCACTGAATGGGTATCTCGCCAAGTACACAGTCGCACGGCCCAGCATGTCGCGGGCCTTTTCAGGACGGAGAAGATGTTCGACAGTAAGCAGAAGCGGCTCATGATCGCGATGAAGGATGAGAAACTGGAGCGTGTTCTGTTGTGCGCCGTCGAAGCGGCGGAGAAGAAGGTGGCGCGGTCGGGTCCGCGTCCTGCGGGCCATTACGAGATCGAAGGTCAGAAGATCATCGAGGCGATTTCGGCGTGGAGAGGTGAGCCGGTTCAGCAGGGATGGCAAGTGACATGAATAAGTGAGCGAAGGCCCGCAGTGAGAGTTTCTCTTCTTGTGTGTTTTTTTATGATCGTGAAGCGTGTGCTGTCGTAGCGGGAGTGAAGCAAGCTTGATCGCGCCTGTGGAGGCGCGCGCGTCTGTAACGGAAAATGATGTGTGAGATGGTTGTCGGCATTTAGCTGGCCACTGCACGGCTGGCCACAGCATGATTTTTTGGTGCGACCTCGCCCCAGTTCCTTTGGAGAGGTAGCTGCTTCTCTGAGTTCTTTTGGTGCAAGAACGGGGACCCCTCCTGCGGTCGTCTCGTCCCTCCCCCCTCCTCTCGCCTGCCCCGCTCCTCCAGGGCCGGCGGCCTCTCCTCCCCCCCTCGGGGGCCACCGCTGGCCGAGGGTTGTGTGAAATGCTCCCTCCTGGGCGTCCGCGTGCGGACACCCAGGGGGGCGCCTTCGCCTCCCCTGGCCTGCAGTGGCGCCCGCTCGCTCTTGGCCTTCCGCATCGTTGCTGCTTGGTGGTGGATCCCGCGTGCACCTATCGGCACGGGCTGTACACGGGCTACGCCCGAATCTCGGGCCATGCCGTTCGTGTCCCACGTGTTGTGTGGTGCCGAGCTTATAGTAATGAGGGGGTAACCCCACCACATTCCGTAGTCCGAGCTGACTTTGGACTCATATGGAGCACCACCACCACCACCACCACCACCTCCTCCTCCCCCCTCCCCCCTTCCTTCCTCCCTCCCTCCCTCCCTCCCTCCCTCCCTCCCTCCTCCTCCTCTCTCCTCCTCCTCCTCCTCCTCCTCCTCCTCCTCCTCCTCCTCCTCGATGTAGCGTGCGGGTTCCCTTTTGGCACGCGAGTTTGGATAATCCATTCAATGGCTGCGTACTACTACTCTTCCTCCTCCTCCTGCTCCTCCCCTTCCTCCTCGTTTTCGTCCTTCTCCTCCCCACCCTCCTCCTCCACCTCCTCCTCCTCCTCCTCCTCCTCCTCTCCTCCTCTCCTCCTCCTCCTCGGCCTCCTCGTCAAT